TGGGGTGCAGGATGGAGTGAGGGCTCCATCTGGGGGTGCAGGCTCCGGGGTGGGGCCGGGGATAAGGGGTTTGGGGTGCAGGAGGGGGCTCCAGGCTGGGGGGTGGGGCAGAGGGGTTCAGGATGTGGGAGGGGGCTCCAGGCTGGGGCAGGGAGTTGGGATGTGGGAGGGGGTGAGGGATCTGGCCAGGGGTTCCCTGCCTGTCCTGGCATCCCGCTGCCCCCCCGGAAGCAGCCAGCAAATCCGGCTCCTAGGCGGGGGTCCAGGAGGCTCCACACGTTGCTCTTGCCCATAGGCACTGCTCTGCCAGCTCCCATTGGCCACGGTTCCCGGCCAATGGTAGTGGGGAACTGGTGCTCGGGGTGGGGGCAGCGTGTGGAGCCCCCACTCCCCCGCCTAGGAGTTGGACCTGCTGGCCTGAGACTAGATGCGGCCTGGTGAGCTGCATATCTCTTGGCCTGTCTCACCGTTCGACTCAGAAGAAAGGGGTCTGAAATTTACTCCCACTTTGTTCCATGGGCCTTGGCTCTTTTTCTGTGTTAGGGGGACCCTTGCACAGATCCTGTGATCGCCTATAGTGTGAGAGGATCACCTAAAGAAGGTGGAACAGGGCTAAAATCTCCACCACCCACCTACACGGTTAGCAGAAGCAGGCGGGTGTATGAGAGGATTGCCCTTTGCTCTTTCCTCAGGTGACCCTAACACCAGCCCAGTCAATCCCAGTAACACTGGGCGGCAGGTATCACAGGCTAGAGGTGGCTGGGCCCCCCTCAAACCCATCCTTTGGCCCCACCCATGCTCCCCCTCTCCCCCGAAGCCAGCAGGCCGGTGCTTGGGGTGTGCGAGCCAGTGCTTGGGGCTCTTCTAGCTGCAGGGTGGTGGGGGGGGTGCTCGGGGATCCGGCGGATGAGAGTGTGTGTGGAAGGGGTGAAGGAGGGGAGGGGCCTTAGGTGGAAGGAGCGGGGCCAGGGGCTCGCTTCCCCAAACTGCGGGGTTCATAAGTAACAGCACTCTCCCCACTCCACTGGGAATCCCAGATCCTTTCGCTGGTGCCTGGCTCCCCGGGCTTGCCAAGCTGTAGTTGGGTTTTACCTGTGGGCCGTGCTGGTGGCTTCGCGACATTAGGAAGAAGAGGTTTTCTGTGCAGTGTTATAATAATAGAGATATGCTATCTCCTAGAACTGGAAGGGATCTTGAAAGGTCATTGACTCCAGCCCCCTTCCTTGACTAGCAGGACTAACTACTGATTTTGCCCCAGATCCCTAAGTGGCCCCCCTCAAGAACTGAGCTGACAACCCTGGGTTTAGAAGAACAATGCTCAAACCACTGAGCTCATCGTCCCCGCCATGAGTCGGGTCCTTCGTTTTTGGGTTTTATTCTATTTACTTTTTCCTGGGGATTTATCAGGGATTATTAAGACTCCGCGCCAAAAAATCGGTGCTAAAAATAACGTCTCTGGGTCAATAGCGGGGTTTATTTTGGTGGCTGAAAAACGTCCAGTAGATGAATGCTTGGATGAAGGGAGCTCAATGTGGTTTCCTGCGGAACTAAAACAGAACTCAGAACACAATGCCACCTCAGAACCTGCATCCACCCCTGTTTGCCTCTCCTAGACTTAGAGGTTTTTAAGGGATGATTTAGTTGGGGCTTGGTCCTGCTTTGAGCAGGGGGTTGGACTAGATACCTCCTGAGGTCCCTTCCAACCCTGATCTTCTATGAGTCTAGACTAAGGCCTTGGTTACACTGGCAATTCACAGCGCTGCACTTGCTGCGCTCAGGGGTGTGAAAAAACACCCCCTCTGAGCGCAGCGCTGTACAGCGCCAGTGTAATCAGCGCCCGCAGCGCTGCAAGCTATTCCCCTCGGAGAGGTGGAGCACTTACAGCGCTGCGAGAGAGCTGATTATACTCGCGACTATACCGCCGCGGCAGCGCTGTGAATCCGCGAGTGTAGCCAAGGCCTAATACTCAGCATTACTTCAGCAGGCAGCGTTGCATCTACACACAGAGGCCTTGGCTACACTTGGGACTTCCCAGCGCTGCCGTGGGAAGTCCCAAGCCTGAGAGCTCTCTCGCAGCGCTGCAAGTACTCCACCTCTCCGAGGGGAATAGTTTGCAGCGCTGCGAGCGAGCGTGCAGCGCTGCAGGCTCTGATTACACTGGCGCTGTACAGCGCTGCACTCGCTGGGGGGGGCGTTTTCACACCCCTGAGCGCAGCAAGTTGCAGCGCTGTACAGCGCCAGTGTAGCCAAAGCCTGGAGATACGTTAGTGTAACACATCTGTCTCCTTCAGTGTGTTGCATTTTCCTAGCAAAGCAAGTTACTTTTTGCGGGGGGATATATTTGAATGGTACAAAAGTAGGGTGAAAACCCTGAATCATACTTTTGGTAAAACCCAGGATTTTTTCCGGTCAAGATCGGTTTAAACTGAAAACAAAGGGCCGTAGTTAACATGGCCTGTGATCGCCAGCTGCAGCGTTGCTGGTTCAGTGACAGACTTCGCGGCTGCCGGCCAGTGCTTTCTCTCATTGGGCTAAACCGCCCTGATTTCTTGCGGTTGCTTCTCCAATGTCCCCTTTGCCCACTGAAAAATCTAGCTTGCTTTTCTTGCATTGTCTTCACATAGAGAACAGAAACGTAAGTACCCAGGGAGCAAATATTTAATATCTAGCAAAGAACATGGGCTAGAAACTGAAGCTAGACAAACTGAGGTTGGAAATGAGATGTGTGTTTTTAACAGGGAGCGTCATTAATGAGTGGAACAATTTAGCAAGGACTGGGGGAGGCTTCTCCGTTGCAAGGAATTTTTAAATCCACACAGGGAGGGAGGGTATATGGGGAGGTGGTAGAAAGGCCGGGATACACGGATGTGTGTGTAAAATGGAACGGGTGGAGGGGCAGAAAATTCACCCCTTCGCCTCTCTAGCAGGAGGGTCTCCTTGGCCAAGAAAAATGACCCGGCGAGCGTGGGCGTGGCAGGCAGCGCACGTCCTGTAAACTCACGTGGTCTGGGTTGAAAGCCTGACGCTTCAAGCCGGGAAGTCATTTCACATTAGGGTGACCAGACAGCAAGTGTGAAAAATCAGGTGGGGGGTAATAGGAGCCTATATAAGAAAAAGACCCAAAAACCGGGACTGTCCCTATAAAATCGGGACATCTGGTCACCCTATTTCACATCCCGCGCCTCAGTTTCCCCATTTGTGACATGGGAGGCAACAGTCCCCCGGCTCTTTCGTGAAGCACTTTGAGATCACTGGGTGGAAAACAGCTAAGGATCAATATTTTTAGGACATTTGTCGCCCTTCAGCGTCCAGAGACTGGAGCTGGTTTCGCCTCGGGGCGCTGAATTCAAGAGCCCTCTGCTAGAGAGATCCCTCCCCATCCCCTCAGAGCTACAGCGTTCGAACTGCATGACCAGCTATGCCCAGACCCCCCCATACAAATGCACAGCGCCCTGCACAACATCACCCCGGCCCAGCGCCCCCCTGCCCAGCGCCCCCCTGCCCACAGCCCCACCACAACTGCCCGGCACCCCACACAGAAGCCCCACTCCCTAGTGCCCCAACACACAGATCTTCCCTGCCCCCTCACAGCCCAACACCCCCCACAGACCCCTCAAGAGACCCACTTCCCCAAGCCGTGCTGGGAGGCTCCCTCAAGACCCACTTGCCCGGAGGGACCCAGCCAAGCCCCCCACACTGTCCCATCTGCCCCCACTGGCTGAGACTGGCCAGGCTTCTGCACCAGTCCCAGGCGGCTCAGCTCTGGGGAGACAGGTGGGCCCCCCCAGCTGGTGGGAAGCAGAGACTGCCTGGAGCTGGAGCTGCACTGGGGTCCAGCCAGGGGGCTGAGAGGAGCAGGGGAGTGGAGAGGAGCCCTCACCCAGCCGGTGGGCAGGCCAAGAGAGTGGGGTCTCGGGGCAGGCTGGGGCCCCTTCTGAGCATGGGCCCGGCTCCATTGCACCACTGGTGCCATTGTAAACCCGGGTGGGGGGAGTAGATTCCACGCAGGGAACTTGCGGGGCAGAGTAGACTCCATGCATGCCCCACGCAAAGAGCCACCACGCCCACTCAATGAGCAACACAACCCCCCTTTTTGCCGCCCTTCCATCCCCCCACCCCAGTTTTGACACCAAACTCACACGCAGAGCCAAGATCTGTGAGTCCACATTCGAATTTTTATTTTTCAGAAATACACAGATGGGGAAAGGGGGGGGGGCGGGAAATCTATATATACAAGGAGGGGGAAAAATACCCCCACTCCTCTCCCCTTCCCTGCCCCCCAGCTCTGGCTCTTGAATATTATTTAACGTCTAGGGTTAGCTGGCTAAGCCGCTGGTCACTAAGGGGTTGTTCTGAGGTGGACAAAAAAGGGACGTGAACCCCCTCCCCGTTTCATAGAATCATAGACTATCAGGGTTGGAAGGGACCTCAGGAGGTATCTAGTCCAACCCCCTGCTCAAAGCAGGACCAATTCCCAATTAAATCAACCGACCCATAACAGCATTATAAACAAAATCACGGTGGGATGGGAAGAAAATCAGCATCTTGATTTGCCAGCTGCTTTGGGACCCCCCAGCATTTCTCCCCATGCTGGGAGCAAGTGATTTTTCTTTTTAAAAGGAAAACCCATCCTAGCCGGGTCTTTAAGGAAAATATTATGAAGTTGCAGTAACCACGCACACCCCCTCCCCCCAAAAAACCCCTCCCCAAACATCCCACCCCCATAAACCTCCTAATATACAATATATAGAGAATTTAATATACACTCTATTGATTTACAAGGGGGTCCCCGGCCCCTATGGCCATGGTCTCCAGACGTTGAGCTCCTGGGGCTGGCCTGCAGAGTTCTGTGAGCCATTCAGCTTGTCCCGAGCACCTTTGCTGGAGTTCCCCAGCTGGGGCCGGCCGGCCGCCAGGGTCTGCAGTCTGTGGCCGGCGGGGAAGGCCGGAGCAGGGTGCAGGACGCAGGTGGCGTCCCCGAGCGGCGGGCTGCAGCTGGGCAAGGCGTCGCGGGCATAGGCCGGGTTGGAGAAGGGGCTGCCCATCGGCAGCTCCCGGGCGGTGATTTTTTCCATGCAGTGGCAGATGCGCTCCATCAGGTAGGCCTTCTTGCCCGCGCAGATGCCCGGGCTGGAGCGGAGGAAGTGCGTGGCCTGGCTCAGGCATTCCCGATAGCCGCTGTGGTACCTCTGCAAAAAGGTGTCGTCTCGCCTCGCCGGCTCTGTGGTGCGTTGCAAAAACCGCCAACGACAAAGGGGGCTAATTAGCGAGGCATCAAGCAGCGGGCGCGCAAAGGGTACAGCAGGGCAAGTGCAAACCACTGGGGACGGGACACCCAATGCCCTGCAGACTGAGAAACCTCCCCTCCCCTCCCCCCCGGGTCTGCTAAGGCCGGGGCTTTGCGGGTGGGGGGGTTCCCAGAAATAAGTGGCATTTGACACCCTGGGCCGAAGCCAGTTTTAAATGGGGAACATCCACAGGGCCAGATCCTCAGCTGGTGTAAATGGGTTCAGCGTGCTCTGTAGACTCCCCAGTGTTAAGGTCACGTGGGAACACAGGGGTGCCCCACCCAGGGATGCCAATTTCTTAGCAAAGCTTGGATGAGTTGCACCTCCCCGGCAAGGTGGCTTCAGGGAAATACACTACAGACCTCATTGAGATCTTGTTTACAATGGTTTTCTACTCATGTAAACCAGCCTGCCCCAGTGGGTGAGTGAGAGGGGAACCAGCCCCCATGACTCAAGTGGACTGACTCCAGATTTACACCGGGGTAAGCAAAAGGGGAATTAGCCCCTGTGATTTAAGCGGACTGACTCCAGATTTACACCGGGGTAAGCAAAAGGGGAATCAGCCCCCATGACTCAAGTGGACTGACTCCAGATTTACACCAGGATAAGCGAGAGGGGAATCAGCCTCCATGACTCAAGTGGATTGACTCCAGATTAACACCAGGATAAGCGAGAGGGGAATCAGCCCCTGTGACTCAAGTGGACAGACTCCAGATTTACACTGGGGTAAGCAAGAGGAGAATCAGCCTCCATGTCTCAAGTGGACTGACTCCAGATTAACACCAGAGTAAGCGAGAGGGGAATCAGCCCACGTGACTCAAGCGGAGTGACTCCGGATTTACACCGGGGTGTGATTAAAATCAGAACTGGGCCCCACCAGTTGGGTGTGACCCAGTTGAAATCAACAGCAAAACTGCCCAGGAAGCAGGTCTCACAGCCAAGCAATGTATTTCTGCGTGCCACATCTGTTGACCCTCTCCCTGACCCCCATGCAAAACCCCGGAGGGAGGATTCAAAAGCCAAAAGTCACCTAAGGTGGATTTGGCTGGTTGGGGCTGGGGGAAGAGAAAGCCCAGGTGAGCTCCTGCTGGAAAAGGGCTGGGCCTGGCGGCGTGGGAGCTGAGTCCAGAGAGGGGGACTTAATTTCCTGCCCAGATCTATAGCAGAGAAACTGAGGCCAGGTCTACATTTAAGGGTGGCAGCTAGGTCGAGGGGAGAAATCTGTAGCTCTGTCTACACCCAGGGTCAGGCCAGGGTAACAGCGTCACTCGGGGAGGTTGGACTGTTCACACCGCTGAGCGACGTAGTTCTACCCACCTGATTTCCTAGTGCAGGACCAGGCCTGAGATCAGGATCTGGCCCTGCGGCCGGGCCAACCCCAGACAGGAGTGTGAGAGTTTAAAAGCCTGAGCGGGGTGAGTGATGGGTGTTATGGGATGGAGTTGTGTACACACACACACACACACACACCAGGACTCATCCTGTCCAGTAGGGGGCAGCAGGGGGACACACACCCCTACTTCTCAGGGAGGCAATCAAAGTCACACCCACCTACTCCCTAAGGAGTCCATGGCAAAACTCTTGCACCAAACCCTCCTTCCCTTCCCAAGAGAGCAAGTCCCAGAGCTCCCACGGAGCGTCTAAACACAGGGCGCTCCCGATTTACACCAGAGAGAGAGGAGAACCTCCAACTGTGTAAATCCAGACTAAAGGCAGGGCAGAATGAGTCCCCTGGACTCCAACGAAGCTATGTCCTCTCGATCCAGTGCAAATCCGGAGTAACACCATGGGCGCCCATGGGTCGGACTCCCCCCTCGCTCGCCCTGGTGTAAAAACACAGGCGCCCATCGGACATCCTCCAGAGTTACACCAAAGCCAGTGAGGACCCCAACGGAGCGACGCCAATTTGCCCCAGCTGAGCATCTGTCAGCTCTGGGCCCACCCCGGAGCTCCATCCAAAGAGGTGCGAGGACGGGGGAGACCCACCCCATCGTTCGCCGGGTCCCGGCCCGGGAAACACCCCGGGGAGAAGGGAAGTCTAGGGTGACCAAACATCCCGCTATTCCCCCTCCCCCCGAAAAGGGACCCAGTTTTTCACACTTGCTAGCCGGTCACCGTAGTTGTATCTGGTCCGGGCCCAACTTGGGTTGGCCAACGGGCCCCCCCGGGCTAGAGCCAAGGAAGAGGAGTAGCCGGCCGCGCCGAAGGGGATACCTGCAGGAGGCTGGGTCCTCACAAAGTGAACTGTTTTTTGTAAAATTTCGGCCTTTTCAACTTTGGGGTTTTTAAGTCTCTGCAAGAAAAACAACAACAAAAAAGAGAGAGGGAGGGAAGGACAAAGCGGGGGGAAGGAGGGAAAGAGAGAAAGAGAAATATGCGTTGGATCATTCGGTTTGGGGCAGCGGCGGGGAAATGGGAGGAAGAAATCCGATTCGGCTTACCTCGTCCTGGGTGGCTTCTAATAGGAGGAGCCGGAGTCGCTCCAGGCTCCGGTTCATACGGTCCCGGCGCCGCTTCTCCATCAAGGGTTTCAGGAGCTGGAGGAGGAAAGGGAAGGAAGGGGGGCAGCTTTTGAAAGAGACACCCCGAAAGAGCGGGGAGATCCGGGGAGGGAGTCCCCGGATCCGGAATGAGACCCGAAGCGAGCGGACTCCGGAGTTACCTTCTTGTCCTGTTTGCTGTCCCACTGGGCGTTGCTGCTCATGGTGGCGGCGGCCGGGCTGGGGGGGGCGGCTGATCCCCAGCGGCCCCTTTATGAGCCGGCCCCCGCCCCAGGCCCGGCCCTGCCGGCGCCGCCCCCCGGGGCTTTGATCCGCCGCCGGAGTGTGGCGGCCCCCCGGGTCCCCCGCGGCGCGGCACACGAGTGGGGCCGGCCCGCGGGGGGAGAGCGCCCTTCCCGCCCCCTGCCTGCCCCGATCTCCCTTCCCCACAGCCCTGCTCCCAACCTGCCCCTGCTCCCCCTTCCCCACAGCCCTGACCCCCAACTTCCCTCCCCCTTCCCCACAGCCCTGACCCCCAACTTCCCTCCCCTTTCCCCGCAGCCCTGACCCCCAACTTCCCATCCTGTCCCCCTTGCCCTACAGCCCTGACCCCCAACTTCTGTACCCTCCCCCCACTTACCTACAGCCCTGACCCCCAACTTCCCTTCCCCTCCCCATTTCCTAGAGCCCTGACCCACAACTTTCCTCCCCCTTGCCCTACAGCCCTGACCCCCAAACTTCCCTCCTCCTTCCCCACAGCCCTGACCCCCAACTTCCCTCCCCCTCCCCCCTCCCCTATAGCCCTGACCCCAACTTCTGTACCCCCATTCCTGCCCTCTCCCCCACTTCCCTACAACCTTGCCCCAGAACTTCCCTACAACCATGACCCCCAACTTCCAGAGCCGTCCGTGTCCCTGACCCCAACTTCCCCTCAACCCTCCATTGCCCCACCCTATGCTCATCTCTCCTCAGTCCCCCATTGCCCCACACCTATGCCCATCTTCCTCACTCCACCCATCCCTACAACCCAGCAGTCCCCAGCCCCAAGTTCCTGTCACCCCCAACTCCACTGCCCAACTTTCACAGCCACCCCACAGCCCAGTCCCCCCTCCCCATCCGGGCAGCCGTCCCTCCTGGGTATCCTCCCCCCAAAACCAATGGGGTGACTCTCATGAGCAGGCCCCCAAACCACTGACAAAGTGTCACTCCTGATTGACACCAATATGAGTGAGGGGTGAATTTGCCCCACTGGAGTGACTCCTGATTTACACCAGGGGTGAGTGAGGGGTGAAACAGCCCCCATGATTCCAGTGGAGTGACTCCTGATTCACACCAGGAGCGCAGGAGTGTAGACACAGATCACATCCAAACATTGCAGCTGATTTCAGTGCCTACTCTTGTAAGTTTCACCAGACAGTAGATTTTTTTTAAAAAACCAAGATAGATTTTACCACACTAGGGGGTTGAAATCAAGCAAGCGAACTGGCTACTGTGGCAACGCTCTTTGTTGGTCCAAATCCCCCACCCTGGTCCTCTGATCCCCAACCTATCCCCACGGCCCCACTCCCCAGTGGAGGGAAAATTCCCTGCCTGGGGTATGTTATGGCCGTGAGCCCCAGCTGTGGGCATTAGCGGAGGTGCCAAGGGCCTCTCACACATGACAGAAGGAAGATGCATCGAATATGCAAGAGGGTGGTTCAGGGAAGGGGATGGGGAGGCCATTGTCAAGCTAATGGGTCAGGAAGTCTCCATGGGGAGGCTGGAATTAACCTTGGAATGCTCGGGGCAAACCCTTGGCTGGTGTAAATCTGGCCTCAGTGGAGCTATGGCTGATTGACACCAGCTGGGATCTGGCCCCATTGACTCCAACAGAGAGATGCCCATTGACACCAGCTGGGGTCTGGCCCCATTGACTCCAATGGAGTGATGGCCATTGACACCAGCTGGGATCTGGCCCCATTGACTCCAATGGAGTGATGGCCATTGACACCAGCTGGGGGCTGGCCCCATTTACTCCAATGGAGTGATGGCCATTGACACCAGCTGGGGGCTGGGCCCAT